GCTGTGAAGTTGCGTTTGTTGCCTGTATTAATCTATGAAAAAGCTGAATTATGTCCCTTGGGAGTATTAATTTCCCACAAAAGTCCTTTCAAACAGTAGAAAATGAAAGATCATATATGCCTGATATAATAAAAGATAGAAACTACAAAATGAAGCACTATTGAAATATTTGCTGCATGAATTGCCAAGATTGTGAACAATTCTTTACACAGGAGAGTATAAATTCTATCTAAATTTAGCCTCAAGTGGGCCTCTTTTTTTCTTAGATGGACAATTATAACACTGAAAATGCTTCTAGTATGACCAAATATTGTCTTACTCCATAAACAGTACAAACTTAACCAGACAATTTCCCATTTTAATAGATTATGTCTAGAGAAATACCCAAGTGATACATTTAGGGAATTACACAGCAAAAAAAGGCAAAAATTTCAGTTAAAAATATTTGTCGCGACTTGAATTCTGGTGTTTCCAATTGAATTAATCATTGCGAAAGGTGAAAACAAATACAAAAGAACTATAGTTTGGTGCATTTTATACAATATAGTTAATATTGAAATCCTAGAATAAAGTTTTATATCAGTACCCATCAATTTGACTTATTATGATGACTCAGCACTTTTCTCAACACAGTATTGTTCTCAGGGAAAAATTTCTATTATTTGTGATAAAAATCAAATGTTCTAATCAAAAGCTTGAAAATAGTATAATATAACTGAAATCTGATTGATTTTGAATTCCCTTGCTATCTTCAGTATAGGGAAAACGGTACTATTTATTCTGCCATAGCCGACAATACTAACATTTTCAAAATTTACCACTTTTTATAATAAAAACCTGGATAAAACAGTTATGTGTGGTGTTAGTACTTTTTTATTCTGTTTTAAAAATTGAAGCCAAATAGTATCATGACCAACTTCCAACGGAGCTTGTTTATGTTATCCATGCCCACCGTCCTTTTACGCCAAATTTATGAAATTTTGGAAGTCTTTTCGAATAATTCTCTAGAAAATATTTCAATAGGTTTCACAATTTATATTGTAAATATACATACTGCAATTATTCATAGATAAATAAAAAAATATATTGTACCCTTACATCCAATCACAGCGCTCCCAAGTTGACTTCCTTCACCTGCCTTGGGTACACAAAAGGCCAACCTAATGCTGGGAAAATGTAATAGTACCGTTTTCCCTTTAACGCATAATTGATAAGTCAAAAACTTATGAAAACAACAAACCTCTGATGCAAAAATATCAATACAAAAATAATTAAATGGCACAACTACGAACAATACTATGATGCACTATTGAAGCGATTTGTTAATAAAAAGTAATTTTACTTCGTATCGGTTAGAAATTTGAATCCGGAAATTCATTGAATTATAATACAAAGTAAATCAAAGTACTGAAGTACTGAACATCGGTTAGAAATTTGAATCCGGAAATTCATTGAATTATAATACAAAGTAAATCAAAGTACTGAAGTACTGAACATCGGATGACCGAAAGTTCTTGTGGATGGTCACAAGCACTTGTCTCAGAAAGTAAATCACATCTCTATACCTGAAAGTGAGGTTAATGTACAGAGATATATTTTTTTCCGAGACAAGTTCGTGCGTGGATGATGAATAAATGACAGGGAATTCAACCTCATCGTAATAACTATAATATTGTAGTAATATTATATTAATATTTGTATATAACAGTTACATGTATATATAATTTTCATCCATTTGTATATCATTCTATTCTACAATTCTAATAATAGTGAAGTGTAAGTGCATTGTGGACACTCTTCTGTAATAATTCGATTTTTCTAATAGATTGGATTTGAGCAGGCATTCATATTTTCCCGCAAAACGTTCTTGTGATATTCTTCCGCATGCAATAACACAATTTTTCTGTACGTGTGCATAGATATTAATGATTTTTTATTTATATATATATATATATTTCTAACGACAAAACATTTTCATATTATTAATTTATGTTCTAAAAACAATATTTTTATGAGTATTCATTGAAGAAATGAATTTATAACAAGCAATAAGGAATGTTATTTTGCACTCGATAATGTCCGCGTATTTATAGATTGGTTATCAGTCATAAACGAAAGTTTCGTAAGTAGAAATCTCTGTGGCAACAATACATCGGAATGCCCTCACGGTCATCCCGATGTAAAAATCGTCACAAAAGTGAATTTATTTGACATACCGAGTTGGAGTGGTTTCATAACTTTAGAAAATGAAGTTATATTACTTTCTTATTCGGAAAATCTGGAAATTATCGATGTAATCTAAATTTACAAATGTTGTAACCACTTCGTTAAAATAATACAGAGTGTGCATTCTTTAAACTGAGTGAAAATGGACAAAATCAAGGATAAATAAAACGAATTCTAGTTTTACAATATGCATAAACACTTTAACTCTTTTATAAAATGCAAAATCATATGTTAAAGGACCAAAGAAAAGCAACAAAAGTCAAATTGTTTCTCATGTTGAATTTTGAAAAAAATCAAAATGTCTTTTTTCTTTCAATTTTATAAAAAAAAACTGCACAGCAGAAAAAGGCTACGACCGGGTAAAAAAGTTAGATTAAGGTATTGGCTTTGCAAAAAAAATCATTTTTAGCCTGCAGTTATGCCGGTCCATTAAAGTCGCAAAATAAGCACCTCTTTCTTGATTTTTCACTCCACTATTTTACAAGTTATCTTTTGGGGATGTCATCTTATTTGCGTATAACCAACATGTCCTTTTACTTACCTTGAAATCGCATCTCTTGATAGACTTTATACGGTAACTTATTTACCTCAATCTTAATTTAATGTAGGATTATAATAGATAAACTCTTGGAGATATTGTCTTGTATTAAATAAAACTAACAAAACTACTTTATGATATGAGAGAAAGAGAAAATAAACACAGCTAATACACAATTGAATTACCCCTCATGTTTTTGATGGTAGTAATTGTCTAGCGTGTAACAAATTGTATGATTTAGTTATTTTAATTTATAAAAGAAAGTTATTTCACGAAACGATAAAAAAAACCACTCAATTCAAATTAGGAAAATAATTCATAGTTTTGTGTATGCAATTATACTTGTATATCGATCAAGGGTTACCGTAGAGGGTTACTCTCTTGACGAAGTACTAGGTTTTTCACTCAAACCCGCAATTACGATCGCTTATTAAGGTGGAAACGTTAATTTTGCATCATAACCTACGAAAACTTTTTAAATCTCGCGAAATGGGGTTTTGTACAAAATATGAATGTGATTGTTGTTCATAGCCCGAGTAAATGGTTTCAAAGTGAGATTTAAATATAGTGTATTGTTGCATGGGAATAAAAGGATGGGTTAAAATATTAAAGATAAACCGGAACATGCATTTTCACAAACAGAGGGTCAGAAAATTTGAAAAAGACATACATACATGTACTCGAAGAAAGACAGACACGCTTTTGCCAAAGGCCACTACACAGAAAACAACAGATTATGCAACACGAAGCCCGCAAAAAACAGGAAATGCTCAAGAAGGGTCAGAAATGAAACTTATTTGAAAAAAAATTAAAAAAACGCTGTATGTTCATGTCTATCCAATATCATAAAAATCTTAAAATCCGCATGACTTTCGTTCGTAATGTTAATACAACTTCAAATTCATAAATTGTTATTCGAGTCAAATCGTTTCTGTCATTACTTTCAGATATAAGTTGAAGTGAAATTTATACTTATACTGGTTAAGTTCGTTTAAATTACATGACACGAATAGCGGCAATATCCTAGACATTTTATAACGGTACTTTTTGTCAATTCGATTTTGATTTCTTTGTCATACATCAATGCAATCTCCTCCCACCTTTGTCATTCATCGTCGTCAAATAAATAAATAAATAAATAATAGCCCTTTCTATACTCAGAACGAAAGATATACGCATAAATTGTTTACAATGGATCTTATTTGAAAAATAAACTATTGTTTGGTTAAATTATTTTGCCAAAAAATATAAGCTAAAAAAATAACCCCAATTAAGTTACATTAGCAAATGCGATACGCATGAATATCCATGATATGCATAACTTACGTCTTTGAAAACTGGTATGCAATTTGTTATTGTACACGTTTATCAAATTATCAAACCATTTTGACAAAATTTGTTGAATGCGACATAACTTTGTGGCAGACATTCACAAAGCGAGATCAACAAAGAATTTCCAGGTCCTCCGCGACATTTCACACTAAATAAGATAATGCAACAATATCTAATGTTATAAGGATATTTCTCGTTTTTCTTTTTCTGAATTTTAGAACTTCCTTGTTAAGATCCCCATTGCAGGAATGAATGTGTCATCGCAATGTTTGCCACTAACTTCCAAAAAAGATTTAGAAGATGTTGCTTAAAGAACACATGATAAATAAATTAACTTTAAACACATTCACGTAAGTGCCTTATCATGATGCTCTGACTTCTATGTGGAACTCTCTTTAAGACACATACTTTTGAATGCTATCAAAGCGATTGCCTCCTTTGGTTTCAGAAATGAATAAAAGCCCATGCGGATCAGGATATACTTACCCTTCCGGAGCACCTGAGATCACTCCCGGTTTTTGGTGGGTTCGTGTTGCTTAGTCTTTAGTTTTATATGTTGTGTTTTGTATACTGTTTGTCTTTTGTTCGTTTTGTGTTTGTTTCCATGTCATTGTCAGTTTGTTTTCGACTTAAGAGTTTGAAGGTCCCTGTGATATCTTTCGCCTCTCTTTTAGTTTTTAGATTCAACCTTTCGTTTCGTAAAGTATTACGATAGACATAACGCCATATGTTTGCCATTATTTTTATTCCTGCCGAAAACATTAGTTTCCATTTCAAAAATATCAGATTCGTTTTTTTTTTGTTCAGTATACACGAACAATTTATACCTGTCTCGATATATCTCTTTACACTATTCTATTTGAAGCATAACAATCCTTTGTTACATTTAAATTGTGTGTTTTAGGTGTTCAAAGTAAGGAAGTATGCGATGAATAACGGACTATCATGGGTCTGGTGTTTGAAGGCAATCTTTATAACGATTCTCACGGCCATACCTCTGGTCATTTATATAGTAAACACAAAAGCTTATGGTGGTCATTATCAGGTGTATGGATCAACACATGCTAAGTGCGTTGGTAGCAATGACGGAATAACATCAGAAGTAGTAAAGAGGAGAAACGAACTATCTAGACAATTAAATGATATGAGCAAAAAAATAGGACAAATAGAATGTGAGGTATGTAACTAAGACAAATAGAATGTGAGGCATGTAGACTAGTTATCGCACGCTAAGCTAACAACAATCAATCAATCAATCATGATTTAGTACCTTGAACAGTTTAAAACAAGTTCTTAATTTTCACACTAGTTCAAACGAATAGCGTGCCGTAAACGCATTATTCTAACTAGTTCGATTGATTGATTGACACTTTCAACACTATTGTGCTATTTCGTGGCGGTCAGTTTTTATTGGTGGAGGAAGCCGGAGTGCCCGAAGAGAACCAACGACCTTCGGTAGGAGACAATCGAGTGCACCTGCCCCGTGCGGGATTCTAACTCACAACCTCGGTGTTGACTGGCTAGCTAGTGATACAGTAGTTGGACTACTGAGACCACTCGGCCACCGAGGCCCCTAACTAATTCGAATCATTCAAACTATTTAAATATTATATTGAGTTCGTGACTAGGAAAATCTTTAAAATGTTTCTGCCAGATAAAAGATATTCTAGAGTTAGTTTGTCACTTTCTCATTCTATTTCCTTTGAAATTTATTTAACAAGCCCTGAATCGAAATGTATTTGTCTCGTGAAAATGAAAAAAACTGGTCACATCGAATTTTATTTCCAGTTCGTTAGTTAAAGATGTAGAAAAGACTTCCTTTTGAACCCCCTACATATATTTCAGTGCTAATTCAAAAGGAAGACTTTACATTACTCTCACTTAGAATTGATTGAACGATTAATAGATGCTCAATGTCATTCAGCATATATCTCATACTTTTTCGAAACAGTAGCGTGTTTATTATCATTGTTACAGACCGAAACACGAAATCTGATTTTCACCTCCAAGCATACAAAGCAAGAAAACATGCATCAAAATTATTTCATTTTTCCTTAGATGCTGTTCTTGGGCCTATACAGGAAGTTTTATCTAGCACTAATCGTATAGTTTTATTGTTGATTTTCACCATGTTCACCCCATATGTACCAAGTGTTAGATTAGTTTTATTGATATTAAAGAAATGTCTTGGTATTCCTAAACGGAAGAATTTATACACACAGAAGAAGAAGTATACTTAGCAACAAAATTATTTTCATTTACCTGTGTATAATATGACGCAGGTTTCTGCAAAAGTGATGATTTTCTAAAAATTGTTTGACATTTCACAGTGATATCATACTTTAACTTTGTTTAAACCTGTTTATTTACTTTTGACTTTAATTATTTATACCTTGTAATTTTTTATTAACTGTGTATTTGCATTCAGGTGTCACAGGTCAAATTTATTCGTTCATTGTGTGTTAATTTACGTTTTTTGATTGAGTTAAGCCTTCAAATTGATATTTTATAGTGTGTTTTCTATGTTGTGATGTTATACTATTGTTTCAGAAATGGGAGAAGGTTGGGTACCATTAAAACGTTTAATCCCGCTGCAAATGTTTGCACCTGTCCTAAGTCAGGAATCTGATTACAGTAGTTGTCGTCTGTTTATGTAGTTCATATGTGTTTCTCGTTTCTCGTTTTTATATAGATTAGACCGTTGGTTTTTCCGTTTGAATGGTTTTACACTAGTAATTTTTTGGGGCCCTTTATAGATTGCTGTTCGGTGTGAGCCAATGCTCCGTGTTGAAGGCCGTACCTTGACCTATAATGGTTTACTTTTATAAATTGTAGCTTGGATGGAGAGTTGTCTCATTGGCACTCGTACCACATCTTCCTATATCTATGTCACTCTTTCAGCACACTTTTTCTGGCATACCAGGCTTACTTCTTTCTCCTAAAAGCTTCCTGCATTTCGTAGAAGTAGAAAGTACCAGTCTGGTTTAATCTGGCCAATGATCAACTTTCTGAACTCAGAAGTACAGCAGGCACGAGTGCAGGGGTTCTCATTCGGGAGCATACCTGTGTATTTTTTTCTGTGTAACAGACCAGCTTTATCCGTACTTTGCGATAATGTATTTTTAATTTGCATACGTACACTTTTCTTCTGATTTAAAGAAATTTTACACCGAGTTATAAGTATAGAATAAACGCCATTTCATTTTCTGCAAATACTCTGCAGTTACTTAATGATCAAATCTGATTAGACTTATCATGTTCCATTTTTGTTGTCACTTTGAGACTTGCTCAACCGCAAGCTTTACTTGGTCTAAGGGAGCTACCATTTGATTTTTATGGGGGGCTAGGATGAAATTAAAAAAAAAGGGCAGGATGAGCAACTTTGCAAAAAAAAAAGGCAGGATGGCAATTTATGTAAAAAAGTCAGGATAAACTATTAAAAAAAAGGCAGGACCGAATAGAGAAAAAAATAAATAGGCAGGACAGAGATTACAACTAAAAAAAAATGCAGGACTAAATTTTTCATCCTAGCCCCCCCCCCCCCCCCCCCCCACCCCCCCACCCCCCACCCCCCAATAAAAATCAAATGGTAGCTCCCTAAATCTTAACATAGTGTAATTTGGGATTTTTTTTTAGAGACAACAAGTTAACAGAAGGGGTGGCTGGTGCAAGCATTTAAGTATGGAAACAACTGGAGAACATAAAACTGATTTTAAACTTGTAAAGGCTTTATCACGATTCCTTGAAGGCAAAAATGTAGGGAGCTTTGGTGATGGACCTGGTGTTTACAAGCGTGAAATCCTCAAATTAGGACAGGTCAGATATTATGACGCATATGACGGAGCGCCATTTTGTGAGGAAACAAGTGAAGGGAGAGTTCAATATATGGATTTAACCATTGCACAATACGGAATACCTCTTTATGACTGGATTTTGTCTCTAGAAGTAGCTGAACATATACCGCAACAGTATGAGAGTGTTTATTTAGATAACATATTCAGACATGCTCGGGAGGGTATAATATTGAGTTGGGCTGTACCGGGACAGGGAGGAATGAGTCATATTAATAATAAACCACTTAGTTATGTGATTAATTTGATGAAGAATAATGGGTTTGTCAGAGACGAGGAGCTATCAAAACTATTAAGAAAGTCTACATCGCTATGGTGGTTACAGCAAAATACAAATGTTTATAAACGAGTTGATTTTCTGAAGTTAAAAAATGAGACCTATTTGAGTCAGTACTATGCATAGCTGCTTAAATGAGGAAATAATTCAGCAAAACTTTTAGGAAAAAAGTTTCGTTAGCAATTTGAAGAACCTTTGCTGCATGAAATGATTTAAACGTTAAGTAACTGTGCTTTAACAATTACACTCCAGTTCTATTGTTATACTTCATAGTTTCTATTTCTGAAACAAGTGTAAATTTAATAGATCTATTGTTACGAATAACAATGGATTTTGACCACAGGGTGTGACGAGCGGGGTTTCTGGAAACCCCTGCTTCTACATCCTGAAAACACAGTCCATTGTTATTCATTACAATAGAAATTGATTTTTTTTTAAAAAGCATGAACATAAGAAATTATTAATAGTGTTCACTACAAGTTGTTTCAAGATATCAAAAAAATATTTTAGGAAATTCCAATAGCGAAAAAATTATTAAGCATCTATTTTGAATAAAAAAAAACTTTTAAAGGAAAAATAATTTGATTGATAGCGTCAAATGGACAATCTCATTGGGCGAAATTGCCTGTGATAAACGATGATTGAAAGCAAAGCAGTTTCAGGACAATATTTCGTTGGAGTATGCCAAACACGTGTGACTTTTTGACTATGTTAAATGATTTTAATGGAACCCTTACGTCAAAGAAGGCCGTGCCGTTCTTGGTGCTTAATATTGTTTTTGTCTGTATTTTAACTATTTATGGTATTATGATTTTAATTGATATTCTTGTTACGGAGTTTTCTTTTAGGTAGCTAGAGATAACCGTTGTTACACTTACCATAGAGAAGCTAATGTATTTTTCTTTTTTATAATTCGAAGTCATTAACAACATTAAACATAATGTCATAAAATGAATGTTAGCAAATGAACGTATGTATGTGTGTATTTGTGCGAATGAGTAGGAATGATAGTTTGGCTTTTTTTCAAATGGCTTGTAATGAAAATAAAGTCACGTCAATGTTTAAATCAATAAGGAAACGACCATCTAACTTGAGTATGTTTTTTTCTTTCTTTTCTTTACTACACAAGCATCAAATTATTTATTTTTTCGACATGCAATTTGAAAAATGTTTTAAGAACTTAACATTAAGATTTAATGGAAAAAACTTTCAATCTGATTTTTTGTTTTCTTCTCCCTGATCAAAATATTATTTTTCTTTAACGTTGGGAATCAGAAAAAATGTTCCCCCCCCCTTTCAGAATTAGATGGTCGTTCCCTAAATGAATTGAAAAGTCATCAATAAATATAGCAGTAAAACTGCACAATAAATTTATTTCTAATTTAACAAAATTATACGCGGACAATTTTAGAAAGGTTTGGGATAAGTCATATCAGTCCCGAAGAAAAATCAAATATGTGTCTGATGTACACAATTGCAAACACTATTGTTTAACAGCAATCGGGAACACAGATTTTCTAGTATCTGCCGTACTAAAAGCCGGTAATAGGGGTATATGGTGTATATGGTATGGGTTTTCCTTATCGTTGGGTACCAGTACAGAAGATGTTAACATAGTTGTCTCATTGGAAATCATACCACGTCTCATCATTTTTCATATTATCACGTGAACTATTTTGTGTGCATTGTTGACCGCAAGCAAAATTAGTTAATAATTTATATGACTGCGGATAAACCACTTAAAATTGGATTAGGTAAATCGAGTCTAAAAAATTGTATCGATATAAAAGATTTATTGTAGGAAGGGCGTCATTGAAACTGATAGTGAGCATTTTATATTGCTTTTCAAGGACTTTTTATTCTGTAAATTGTATATAATCCCACAAATAGAATATGTACTTTCCTATGGAATAGTGCACAAAAGAACATGTTTTTATGTATTATGGAAATATTTAAGTATGAATTCGTTAAAACCTAGTTGATTTAAAAAAGAAATAACCATGAACGACAACAGGATATTTACTAATACTTGATTCTCACATTTTAAAGCGGAATATCGCTATTAGTAGTCAGACTGGATTTATCTTGTCAAAACTCAGAAAAATCGCTGTGCATAGCATTTACATTTGAAAGATATCAGTTGTCTGTTGGACGCAAATATTACATGACTGTCACTGTCGTATGAGCCGGTGGGGGTAGGGGCATGTTTTGTATCTTTATTTATTTTTTGCTTATCACGTTCGGAATTTCCCTCGCCACTTTTCAATCCACTCCTACGCCACTGTAACGTGAAGGAATTCAAAATTTGAAAACTGTTGATTTGACCAGTTTATTAGAAAGTGACGTAATAGAAATCCACTCAGTTGAAACCTAAACATTTTGAAATGTCAAGTTATAATCACAGTTTCCGTACCATAGAAGCTTGGGACATGGATTCCATCCTTTTTCTATATTATGTATATGTATTCTGTGTTAATTTTCCACGTGGAAAATAAGAATAGAGGGACATAATGTATGAACTACTGATGTTGTGATATCGTATGGATAGATGCAAGAACACATTAAATGCGTGAACATAAATTAAAATATTAAAGATTATTCCATATCAATTAATATCACTTTAGAAGTTTTTTTTTATATATGTAATGGATTTTTAATAAAACATCATATTCACCTGAGGAAAAAGTATATTAACCGCGCAAAATGTCGCGTGCTTTAACGTGTACAAATTATGGTCAATTGTTTGATGTACAATTGGATTTTGAAAATAATTGTCATTCCATACTTTCTCTCTCTCGGATTACGGAATAAGACAATTACTGTCTTTTGTTTCAGTAAATATGTGGTTTAATTGACTTTTGAAAAAAACTAATATTCACCATCTGAGGCCAACGGCCTCAGTGAATATCAGTTTTTCAAAAGTCAATAAAACCACGCATTTACCTCATCAAAAGTCAGTAATTGTATAATATTTCCATATTTACCCCCATAAAATAAAACACACAAAAATAGAAAGAAAGAAGGGGAGGGCGGTTTCCATGCCCAAAGCGCCATTGGTCCACGCTATATAATATATCGGTATCATAAATAACACAAACACCTTATAAATCAGCTTTTAGTAGGTGTACCTCTAGTAAATATGTAGGACTCTTAAGTGAGATGGGGACCCCAAAACGTGATAGTTACGCTAAAGTGCGATTGTTTGGTATGCTAAAGTGCGATGCTATGTGCTATTCAATGAAACACGATAAAGTGCGTTTTCCCGCGAAAATAAGGACGCAATTATATAATTCAAGCTTTAGACGGTCCCTCTACGCGTTGTGTGTGTTGTATTTAATAAACCTGGGAGTAGTTTATTGATATACAATGACCCAGAATAAACTGATTATTTCTGAACGTTTATCATTTGATATTTAGTATTTCAATCATAGTATGAGAAAATGTCGGAAAGAATGAAGAAAATTAAGAAAACGATATTTCTGTTAAAAATATTCATCTAAGGTAGGAAACACAGTGGTCGGAAAGCAGAAAGATAATCAAACAAAAGGATTTTTCTGTAAAAAAATATCTAATTTCATTAATAGATACTACCAGACTAAGAGAATATTCATTGTTAAGGTAAAACTGAGACTGAATTTATTCCTAATAGTTATAGAATATAATCAAAATTGTGATGTATACGTGCACTACGTCTCACAGGTTGAGTCAGTCATTACATTTATGAAAATTATATGTAACGTATGAGCACCAATGAGCAGGGATGCGTACCAGAGTTAGCTAAATATCTAAATTTTAAAAGGTCGTGAATGAAAAAAAAACTTGCGTGGTTTCAATTCACAAGGATTTTAAATCCTTGCATCTCACAAAAAACGTAATTAATATTTTACAATAATCATAACAAAATTTAATTACTATCATAATGTTAATTTTTTTTTTTCATTTTTTTTCTTTTATTAGTTCAACCTTATAGCATCTTAATATTTGTACTATGGTACGATTTTGAAAATTGTATTCATTGTGTTGGTCAGCTATCCTACACGTCTTGATTCATACACATTATACATCACCCTGTTCACACGCACACACTCGGTTTGCGTTCACAAAAAATCCGGATAAAATGTCAATGAATCCGGAGTAAAAACACTTGAGGTAGGTAGTTTGACATCCGAATTCAACTATTAGATTAATATATGTGATGACGCAAATGCGTATTTTTATCCAGAGTATCAGTGCGCATGCTTTCTATTTACTATTTCTTGCGCAAAAATACCACGTTCATGCATAAATATTAATTTCACTCGCGAATGCGAATTTTCGCTTTTCTTATCTTAATTCTGGACACGGTAATAAGAGCTTGCCATGTGACTTTCAAGCACGGTCATCATTGCTTATGGTATTCTGACCTCTAGCTGTTTCTCTTTTGTTTTCTTTTTTGAGTCACTGTCCTTTTATAAACTTTGACATTTTCAAAATGCCATGGATTTTCTACCCAAGGAATAGATTACCTAACTTCGTACTTTATTTAGCCTTTTTAACTATTTTTATTCGAGCGTCACTGATGATTCTTTGTAGACCTAACTCGCGTCTGGCGTACAACATGTTAATCCTGGTATTTTTTTTTTATATCTACATGTCTTTTTATATAAATTGGTTCTTTTGAGAGTATGTTCAGGTATTCATAAAACTTCTGAAAATAAGATATTCTTCAAAACCAAGTTTCTCTGTAAAATATTTGGATTGCTTTAAGTAAAATCAGGAAATCCTTAAAATTTGAGATGTTTTATGAGACCAAAATAAGTCTCTACATAAGAGGTCCAAATGAAGCTGGTGTGTTACTCTCAAGAAAAATATACGAAACCTTCTTATAAGTTGCATGCCACAGGGTTTCATTTCACATGGAAAATGAACTTTAAATTTATCTGTACAACATCTACCATGAGTACAGACATCTTCAATAACGAGTTGAGAATATGAAGGCATCCATGCAGGAAACAAAATATAAAGATGTGATAGATAAAATAAATGCATCCAGATTATAAAGCAAACTGAGTGCTTAAATTTATATTGCGATTGGTTTGTGCAATTTGCATTATACATCCGGTTTGTAGAATCTGGGATTTTCAATAGGATTATAAAAAAAATGATGTAATACATGAAATAGTCGAGCTTTAAAATGTATATTCAAATAGTAGCTGTATATACACTTTTCTATTCACACCTATGATCCAACATTTGCTTTCAACTGACTTGTGCAAGAATGTACACACTATTACATATTTTTAATAAAGGTAGTTTAACTTCATCATTATCTCCTTCTATTCACGGTCAATTATTTCAATTTAAAAGCAAACAAACATTCAGCAACAATCTTTTGGTGACCAGTCAGCGGTCTTAGGTTCACGTATTGCTTTTCTTTTATTAAAGAAAGCAACTTGTTTTTAATTTGGACCAATACAGTTATGTACATATGTATCAAGAATTAATGTTATTGGAGCTTATTTCCTAATGCTTGTAGAGTAAGACTTTGGTAAGCTTGCTTGCTTTATTTGTGTAAACGTTTGCCCAAGCATATAATTAAGATTGACTTCTGCAAACGATATAAATAAGCGGAGTTGAACCTGTACACATTATACTTAAATTTAGTTAGATGTTATCCTGGAGGTTAGGAACACCCAATTGTACATGTAAACATTACAGGACAAATATTTTTCACACATTTGATAAGCTGTATTTTATAACATTACATAACATTACTGGGCAAATAAATAAAGAATAGAGAAAAATGGTATAAAAATTAAAGAATACAGAAATAAAGGACCCCCATCCAGGTCCTGTTGTATTGTTTGGTGTAGCTTCCTTATGATAGGTTATTATAATTATCAATACAAATGTATTATTTTAGGTATACTGACCAAAGAAAGAAATCAGATAGTTTGCATACGGCCAAGATTAAAGCCGTTATTTCCTAAAACTTGTCAAGCTATATTTTAGGCATCTCACTTTTGGTGGTTTCATGAGATATCTATACATTGCCAAAAACGTAAAGATGGGTAGATTAACTATATACCGCCATCTTGGATTGTGAAATAGCAGTTCACAATAGTTCTAGTTCTTTGCTTAAATCTGCAAATTTTGAGACAGATTTGTAATTAATGTGTTAGACTTTTATTGGATTAGACAAATAAGTGATTTATTGCATCATTTGGACTTATTCACCAAATACCAAATATTTGTGTTTGTTCTAATCAAATTGTCAACTTAGCCATTTAAGGGGAGATAACTCAATTGGTGTTTTTTAAAAGGCAGTGCTTTAATGCCTTTCTGGTTGCCGGGTTAATATTTCCTTCCGCGATATCCGACAAATCTACGTAGGGGGTCAATTGGCCTTAAGTAGATCCGAAAATGTTGAATTCTCTCCTCTTCCTTTTGTGATATAAAATGTTTTTTGTTTTATTTCATTTACATTGGGAAATAAAGAAACGATCATTTTGTTTTGTTAGTTTTAAAAACTTTTGATATATTTGTATTTTGCATTATTAGCAGTCAACCGATTGACAAACTAGAATTATTTGAATTCCGTGTGGAAAGAGGTCGGGTTAATTCGACTGTTATCTGCAATCTAGATGTTTTTAAATCATTTCAGTGAGTCGTTGATATAACAATTAAAGGTCGACTGAACATGAATTATAATGCATATTATACAATTTAAAGCGCATTTCTATTTATGCACGTGAAGCCGTATGACGTTATTGTTATTTCGATATCAGTTACAAAAAGTGGCAAATTATCGTTCCTGAATAGGTGGCGCCGTGGATGTTTCTTAACTTCCGGTTTCTGCACCGGACAAATTTACAATGACATTTTTAATTAATGATGCCTAGTTCTTGTTATTGTGTACATGGATGTCATTTAAGAGGAGGACATGCATATCCAAATGACTTAAAAAGAAGGAAAAGTTGGATCAACGCCATGGCCCATACGCAGATTGGACGAGAACACGATAGTCCATATCAATCAGCTGTTGTTTGCAAGGTACATTTGACTGAAAACGACTACGTGCAGGAAACTATTCATGGTAAACTTTATTTTCTTTTTGAAATATATACAGTTATATATATAATCGCCATGCGAATAAACCAAAGTCTGTTTACAACCGCAATTATCGTTTTAGAATAGAAAGGAGGGGGGGGGGGGGGGGGGGGGTATTCAAGACGTCATAATTTTTTTGATTACGATTCAATGTGATCTGTTTGAGATTTTTTGATGAATGATACAATTATAATGATTTCTTACAAGAGGTATATCATACTGAGAATTATTTTAGCAGTAATCATGCAAATGTAGTAATGACAGGAATGCATAAGCTACAATGTATGCCTCATAGGTTTGCTTGAAAAATATCAATGACACTGTTAACAGGAACAAAACAATGGCATGCTCTCATCTATATTATAGTTATTTAGGTACGTGTGTTGCATAAGTCTCTCATTGTTTGTCCTTTTAGGCTTTGGATTTACATAACATGCATTGAATCAGGCATACATAGTTTAATCCACACTAATGTAATGAATAAATCTAGTTAATATTTTGCCTGGTAGTACAAAGTATACATTGCTAATGGAAGTTCATTTAATTTTCAAAAAACTAATGTTTTATAACCTTTTTCAGGGGGCAAACCCACCATACAGAGACTTGTCTACTGCCATTTAAAATTTGGAACTGCTTTACATTTTGTACATAGTCCCTACTGCCTACAGCCTATTTTTCTGGACCAAGCAAAATGAGGAAGAGACTGAATCGTCCGCAAAAAGAAAAATCAGGGCAGTTTCCCGTGAATCCAAAAGAACTAAACTGTAAAACAATATCTGAATCTAGTGTTAAGAATATTGTGTATGTACATGGATTGTTTTTATGTCTAAACAGTGGCGAGATGCTATAGCTAACACTTGGCCATCTAGTGGTTTGTCAGATATTTTTCGCCATCTGACTTCAAATAAATGTTTCCTACAACTAGGATTATTATTGACAGCACAGAATGTCCCGTGAAAAAACCTAAAGCTCGGTTAAGCTCCTAGAGCTCAACAGGCAACCTTTTCATCATATTAAAACAGAAATACTGAAAATACTTGTATGTTCGACACCTGGTGGTTTAGTCAACTATGTCTCTAATGCATATTAGAATAGTTGAACGATGTAGAATAGTTCAATTATGTGATCCAGGTGACAGTGTGATGGCAGATAAAGGTTTTAATGTGCAAGATTTGTTTGCTAAAATGGATGTTGCCGTCAATATTCCAACTTTTTTCAAAAGGAGAAACAGAATTAGTTCGAAAACTCTTATACGGGATAGAAAAGTCTCCAATAAACAGGTGCATGTAGAGCCAATTATTGGACTTGGCAAAACATACAACATGTACAAAATTCTAACAAATCCTTTGAATGGAACTGAAACAAAACTTTCATCTGAAATAACATTTAGTTGTTTCAATTATGTTGTGTAATTTTAGAACTTGTATTGTGCCAAAGGATGCATAAATGAAAGTGACGCAATGAATTTTGTTCTGATATATATATTTACAATTACATGTACATGTAAATTGTTATGCATATAAAAATAAGGAGATGTGCCCACAGTGGTATGATATTCAGTGAGTTTATCAAACCAAAGTGCATAAGAAATGGGTTTAAGCAGTTACAGGTGTTACTGTAACCGTACAATCTCCAACAATGAGAAAAACTCATACCATGTAGAGAATTTCAGAGATCTTACAACTTTTGTTTTTGGGTTGAATTATTTTCTTCTATTGTCTTACAAATTTGGAGAGGTGGTTAAAATGCTATATATATATATTTAGACAACTATTATGACAGTGTCCAAACAACGAGTCTTCAAGATGTCATTTTTTTCTTAGTTAAGAACTCCTTTTTTCATTCATAAATTACTTTATACTTGGAAATAATTTTGCTTGGAGTTACATATAGTTTATAGAAAAAGTATTGTCATCGAAAGAGTTGACATGTTGCAATGTACATTTAACATAATGTTACTTGATGTTCTTGCAATACACACAATACAGTGACTAAGCAAGCATTATGAACTACTTTTCATAGTATGGAAGCTAAGTCATTGAATATTCTTATATAATCAATAATAAAGAATAGTCCTATTTCTCGTATCAAACATAAACTAAAAGAACTAGCCAAGGAATTTGTTTTTGTCCCGGCCGATAAAGCTGCTAATAATATTATTATTGTTTGACGTAAATTTTACATTGAGGTTCTGAAAAAAGAAATCACCAATTCACCAACATTCCAACTGACTCCATTTTCAGAAAACGACATCTGTAACAAACATAAACTTTTAGCTACCGCTTTACATGCAGAACCAAATACAATGAAAGTCCCAACTATGTATTGGCTTCCGAAGCTACACAAAACACCTTACAAATATAGATTCATTTCGTCTTCAAGCCGTTGTTCCACTACTAAATTGTCTATTCTTCTTACCAGTACACTTGGTACAATCAAAAACCTGATAATAAATTGTTCAAATAAGGCCTTCGAAAATAGTGGAATTAATTACTTTTGGAGTGTCAAGAACTCGTTGGAAGTACTTGATAAATTACATGCATATATTTGTGATTTTGAATCTGTTCAAAGTTTTGATTTTTCTACCCTATATACCACATTGCCTCACATTCTCATTAAGAAAAAATTCACACACCTAATTAAATGGGCATTTAAAAAGTCAGAATGTGAATATATATGTTCAAACTCTTTTAGGTCATTTTTTAGTAGCAATAAACAAAAAAACTATGTCAATTGGACATGCTTTGATACTATATATGCCCTTGAATTTTTACTAGATAACATTTTTGTTCGCTTTGGAGATTCCGTATATCGTCAGGTTATCGGAATTCCAATGGGAACTAACTGTGCACCACTTATTGCGGACCTTTTTTTGTATTGCTATGAGTTACAATTTATGACAAAAATCAGCAAAGACCCATCGAAACAACATCTGATACACAAATTTAATAATACTTTTAGATATTTGGATGATATTTTGGCTCTCAATAATGACGACTTCAGTATGTATACTAAAGAAATTTATCCTGTTGAACTTACTTTAAATAAAGCTAATACTAACAATGACCACTGCCCTTTCCTCGATCTTGATATCTATATCATTAACGGAAAGCTTAATACTAAAATATATGATAAAAGAGATGATTTTTCATTTCCTATCGTTAATTATCCATTTTTAGATGGTGAGGTTCCCTTGTCACCATCTTACGGTGTTTATATATCTAAACTTGTACGATTCGCTCGTGTATGTAACAATGTTTTAGATTTTAACGAGAGAAATTTATGTATTACTGAAAAATTATTACACCAGGGTTTTCGATATCACAAACTAGTCAAAACATTTACTACATTTTATCATCGGTATAAGGACATCATTCGTAAATATAGCTCAACATGCAGACTTCTTATACGTTTAGGTATTTCACATCCAATTTTTTATGGAAATATTCTTTATAAAGCACAAAATTGTCAGTATTCACCTCTGAAGCTAACAAAACCTTTAAATAGACTTATTAAGAAGGGATATAGTTACAATACTGTTGTCAGGTCATTAAAGATTGCATATTTTGGCGTTAATATTGATTCACTTATAGGGTCTTTGCATCGGCACTAAACACTTTTATTTAAAAACCAGTTGTTGGCATGACACGGGTTATGTTCTTCTCATATATGTTATGATGGTATGACACTAAACCCCTAACGGGAAGGATTGTGCCTGATATTCATATGATGAAGACATAATCTTTCAATCAGTTTAATTGAAGTCTGGAGCTGGCATGTCAGTTAACTGCTAGTAGTCTGTTGTTATTTATGTATTATTGTCATTTTGTTTATTTTCTTTGGTTACATCTTCTGACATCAGACTCGGACTTCTCTTGAACTGAATTTTAATGTGCGTATTGTTGTGCGTTTACTTTTCTACATTGGCTAGAGGTATAGGGGGAGGGTTGAGATCTCATAAACATGTTTAACCCCGCCGCATTTTTGAGCCTGTCCCAAGTCAGGAGCCTCTAGCCTTTGTTAGTCTTGTATCATTTTTAATTTTAGTTTCTTGTGTATAATTTGGAATAAAGTATGGCGTCCATTATCACTGAACTAGTATACATATTTGTTTAGGGGCCAGCTGAAGGACGCCTCCGGGTGCAGGAGTTTCTCGCTGCATTGAAGACCCATTGGTGACCTTCGGCTGTTGTCTGCTCTTTGGTCGGGTTGTTGTCTCTTTGACACATTCCCCATTTCCATTCTCAATTTTATTTTAAGTGTTCACCTGACCATATTCTTAAAGCTGTTGAATCGAAGGATAGCAGGTTAATACCATCATACATATATAAAATGATAGACAACATCGTCTATGCACAAGTTCAACAGGAGTCTTCTACATAGTTCTATGCTACCAAATCCAAAGTTTATATAAAAGAAAGAAGTCAAAGGTTTCCCATCATAGTTTAGTTACATAAATGTTTTTGGTACCTGCGGTCGTTGAATATAGATCATAATACAAATAAGGAGATGTGGTATGATTGCCAATTAAACAACTATCATCCATGCTTACTAGTAACAAACCACATTTGCAAAGTTGAATAAAATACAGTTGATAACTGGTATTTATTCCTAAAAAGAAAATGTCCAACTATTTTAAACAGTATTTGACTATAAACATAGATAAAGAAGGTACACACTGGACATAATGCACTAGTTCATAAACAAGTTGGAACAATCACCTTCATATAATGCTCCAAATATGCATATGACATTCATGAAACTTGTTCAATATCATTAGAGAACTCTAAATCTTAAATACTGGAAGCCACCTCTGATAAGTACACTGTTCTATGCAAGATAATGATATAACTGGACTAAAAATACACACAACCTGTAATTAACTGCCTTTACAGCGCTTTCGCGCTTTGATTTTTAAAGGATTGATAGAGTAATCTCTAAATTTTACTTGTAGCAAGAAAACAAGGTCGGTGACACCATTTTTTCTTTTTATTTTCTTAAAGCATATTTTAAAACCTATCTTCTCATTTTATTTCAAAATTCTATCTCATAGTTTCTTTTTATTCACAAAAAAAGTGTTTTTCATGAACAATCTATGTAAATTTGGGCTATTCTGCACTACTTTTAGCTTTAAAAATAGCACGATGACCATACTTTTTATTATATTTTTGAAAAAAGCATGGAAAAATCTACATTCTGACAAAATATCAGAAAAATCTATCTAAGGAAATATATACCATTTATGATCCACCTTAAATGCAAAGTTCAGCATAAATACGCCTTAGAACGTTATTATTGTACGACACTGCAATACAATACTAAATAAATAAATTTGGTGTATTTACTGTCTTCTGATTGGTTAAAAGTATTACCTTTATTTTCAATGTTGTCAATTTTTATGGCGACACGCCCACTCTGACGATGTGTATTCATACGCCAACATGTGTGTACGTTGTTATTGTAAATATAAATAAAATAAAAAGCTCTTTGAGCCTTATTTTTGATAGAAATTTATTTATAATGAATGGTTATTATTTATTTTGAATTTATTGAACGCGGATTATGTTAAATGTGAAGAGTCAAAAATTAATTTTATGGTTCAATAAATTCAAAATAAATAATAGCCATTCATTAAATACAAATTTGTGTAGGAATTTTTTATTCAAAAGACCAAAATTATTTACTTCTCAAAATTAGTTCACAAACAATTATTTATCTAAAATATCAAACTTGGTACAAATATCATACTTGGTACAAATATCATACTTGGTACAAATATCATACTTGGTACATTTATTATTGGTAATAATACAAAGCACAATAAAGTTCATAACTTGCCGGTGAATTGATAACAAATAATTAGAATAATGATTTATGTACTGTAACAGTTATAAAATTCAGCTTATTAAATATGTAGGACTCTAAAGTGCGATGGTACTCTAAAGTGCGATGGTCACGCTAAAGTGCGATGGTATACGCTAAAGTGCAATGGTGTCAAACTCTAAAGTGCGATGGTATTACGCGCTAAGGTGCGATAGTATAACACGCTAAATTGCGATTGTATAGCACGCTAAAGTGCGATGATGTAACGGGAATGGGGTTTAGGCAATGGTTTCGTTTGTTGCTGTGTTCCTATTAGTGAAGTTTTTCGTTTATTATTATGTTTATAAATCAAGCCGTTGTCTTTCTCTTTTGATTTGTTTTACACTGGTTATTGTTTGGCCCTATATAGCTTGCTATGCGGCGTGGACCAAGGCTCCACGTAATGGCTGTACACTTATTAGATGCATATATCAATGACAATTGTTCTTGGGTGGACATTTGTCTTATTTTTTTATTTAAAGTACGATAGTTGTCTAAAAAGTTTAATGATTACCTTGCAGTAGCTAATATATACTTTATGAACCTGTCTCAAGCCAGGAATCTGTAATTCAGTGGAAGTCGTTTGTTGCTGTATTTCATATTTGTTTTCCGTTTATTGTTTTGTATATAAATCAGGTTTTACACTGGTCGTTTGTGGCCCTTTGGTCTTTATAGAATACTATGCGCTGTAAGCCAATGCTCCGCGTTAAAGGCATGCGGTAACCTATAGTTGCTTACAATAATGACATTTGGTCTAGGATGGAGAGTTGTCTCATTACCTCTGGTCGTTAGGTTACTGTCTAGTTGACGTATATCCATATCTTTAACAGGAATGACGAACCATATTGTAAAAAAAATGTTTTATAGTCTAAGAATGATTTCATTAGAAAGTACAAAAGTAGACTTTATTTCACGCAAGTTCATAATATGGAATTACAAACATTGAAAGAGCTGCTAAATTAGATTTGGACGAATTAAATTCCTCAACGTCCAAGTGAGCCATCTCCAGAATCTCTTTTTCCTCTTTAGTTAAAATACAATTTGCAAACTTAACATAAATAGTAGAAATACTAAAATTATTTCAGTATGAATGACCAAATGGTCATGCGTATGATTGTCCTGTATATGCATGTTATATTTGCCACTGTACGTTCAACAAGCAAAAAAGTTTACATTACTTTAATTTATTAATTTATTTTACCGAACTACTGGAAAATATGATTTTCAAAGTGTTTCATACACAGCGTCACTTTTACCTTAGTCCGCTTTATCGTTTTTGTTGATTTCCACTGTTATCGGGAAAACGCACTTTAGCGTATTGAAGCATCGGACTTAAGTGTGTTCCATAAAATAGCACAGACCATCGCACTTTAGCGTATCAAACCATCGCACTTTAGCGTAGACCATGGCACTTTAGCGTGACCATCGCGTTTTAGCGTCCCCATCGCACTTTATAGTCCTACAAATATGTATGTATATATATATATGTGTGTATGTGAATAATATTTGTCATCCAATGTTTACATGTACAATTGAGTGTTTCTAACCTCCAGAATAACGTGAAATCAAATTTTAAATTTAATGTATACAGGTTTAACTCCACCTATCTAAATTGTTTACAGATGTCAGTCTTAATTACAATGCTTCATCAAACGTTTTTATAAACAAAGCACGGGGTATAAGACGGACGACATTTTGATTCAGGCGTTGGATTTGGCAGAAGAGACTGAAGAAAACGCAATACTTATAACCCTAAGAACTTGCATGTATCAGTTTAATGAAGGTAATAATAAATGTATTTTACATGCTACAGTTTTATCAAAAAAAGCCCCTCTTCCTTCTGAACATTAAACAAACATTCACATTCGAACATACTGAGGGATAGGTGTTTCTGATTAGAAAGTTTTTTTTTTGCATGTATGTTCTTTAAGACATTGCCATATGGGATCAAAATTTTAGCTTCAAGCAAAGGAGTAATTAAATGAATTTTTTTGTAATGCAAAATAGATGCTTAATATTTTTTTCGCTATTGGAATTTCCTGAAATATGTTTTTTTTTAATATGTCTTGAAACAACTTGAAGTGAACACTATTAGTAATCTCTTCTGTTCATGCTATTAAAACAATTTCTATTGTTATGAATAACAATGGAATGTGTTTTCGGGATGTAGAAGCAGGGGTTTCCAGAAATCCCGCTCGTCACATCCTGTGGACAAAATCCATTGTTATTCGTAACAATAGATCTATTCAATTTACACTTGTTTCAGAAATAGAAACTTTGAAGTATAACAATAGAGCTAGGGTGTAATCTTAAAAACACCAAGTTAGTAAGTTTAGAATCTGTCTATTTCTAGTTCTATCTTTAGAATCTTTCTAGTTCTAGTTCTATATTTAGCTTCCATCACGTATTCATTGATTTTTTGAGGTGTCAGTACTGAATTAAATAAGCATATACTATCCTCATATTTATATTTCCCTAATTCAGACAGTTTCCACATTAAATAGAACAGCAAAAAATGTGTTCACATGCAGTTTTAGGGAAGTATTTATTTAAACTTGTTTCTATCACGACATATCTATATCATATCCTACAATGGTATTCGAATTACAAGAATATCCTTGACTATTATTAATTGTCATACAACATAAGCATAAAATATCGACAATATCTCTACACAGTTAATGTGGTGTGCAATAAATTAAAGCACAGTAATTGCTGAATGAGCAGGATGTACTAATAACTGACGTAAGCATTAACTAATCATGTAATCCAAACATGTTTCACTACAATTAGTTCTTTGATAATTACATGTAGTACTAAAAGTATTTCATCTGATCGCGTCTTCTTTTTTTATATTAATAACGGATGTTGTTAGTGGAATGATAATGGATGTTTTAAAATCTCCATTGCGTATTTGTTATTCCTTATGTTTTGTCAGATTAGCTCTGTGTTGGATAAAATTGATCTCTGTATAGAAGCCGTAATCTCTCTATTTTTGAAAAGTATATGTCAACCTTTTACATCTAGTATCTATTACCTCAATCTTAAATGTGATGTAGGATTATAACAGGAAAACTCTTGGAGAAAAAATCTCGTAGGAAGATACAAAACTACTAATATGATATGGGAGAAAGAGACAATATTTGTTTTTTGATGGCAGTCATTGTTTAGTGTTTAACACATGTTCAACAAATTGTATGATTTAGGTATTTTTATTTTTGAAAGAAAAATGTTTCATGAAACGATCATAAAAACACCAAATTCAAATTGGGTACATACTACTTAGATTTGTGTATGCAATTATACTAAAATATTGATCAAGGATAGTATTCTCTTGACGGAGTGCTAGATTTTTCACTCAAACCAGCAATTACGATCGCTTATTATGGAAGAAACCTTTATTTTGCATCTTAACCTATGACAACCTAGATCTTGTGACAGGGAGCTTCGTACAAGATATGAATGTGATTTTTTTTCGAATCCCGGGTAGAAAATTTCAGTTTGAGATTTGAATACAGTGTATAGTTAAATGGGAATAAAAGGATAGTTTAAAATATTAAAGATAAACCGGAACATGTGTTAAAGCACACAGAGGAGAAGATCGGAAAAGACAGGAAGGTACATAAAAGGTGGATAAAACCAATACTCGAAGAAAGACAGATGAACTATCGCCAAAGGACACTACATAGAAAATGAAAAATTGAGCAACATTAGACATTAGACATTATTTTATTTACCAATCATGGGCCCTTGTCAGGCAAGATACAAAAACATCATAATACAATAGTTATTATAAAACATGCAAGTTTTAACAAGAAGCCCACAAAAAAGAGGAAATAAACTAAGTTGCTCCAGAAGGGTCAGAAATCCCTACCTTACTGGTGACTGTGACCCTTGATATTACGCGACATGTATGTACACAGTCCCTATGATATCAAATAACTTAAATATTTCCAGCAAACAAATAGTGGAACTGATCTAAAAGCAAACAGAGCAACACACTTCAAAGTTTCATTCTTTAAAGATATAGCAATTATCATAGTCATTTATATATCGTTGTTTTTACCTTGTAAACATCGTAAGAATGCTGATCCAGTTCCATCATCATCCTCGGCTGCTTCGGCGCTATTCCACAACAACCTCCAGAGGTGCGCCGGCTCAGGTGATCAGTCTGAACCTGAAACTTGATGGCTTACATTGCTCCCGATATGTCAGCTGATGTAAATAAAGGCAACAATAGTATACCGGTGTTCAAAAGTCATAAGTCGATTGAGAGAAAACAAATCCGGGTTACAAACTAAAACCGATGGAAACACATCAACTATAAGAGGAAAACTGAAGTGCAACAAAAACAAACGTCAACATACATAGAAACAAACTATTTGATAACAACTGCCATATTCCAGACTTGGTACAGGACATTTTAAGAAAAAAATAGTGGGTCGAACCTGGTTTTATGGCTAGCCAAACCCCGCGCTTTTATGGTAATGGTAAAAAAAATCGCTAAAATGACTACACTACGTGACAGAAATACAGCACAAACACACGCAAGAACACTCATCACAGAGAAACGCACAAACAAATGATATAATAGTCGACACAACATGCAAACCGCAGAACAACAACGAACATCCTCAATCAACGACAGACGCCACACGACATCACAAACAGTGACGCACTATGTAACGAATATGTAATCTTGAACTTCACACAATTATTTTCACATCACTAGTCCAAACAATTTTCACGACAATGATGGTATTGAAAGGCTATTTTATAATTATTTGGACTACAAACGATAAGACATAACCCATTATCCAACCGAAACCATAACAGAAACTTCAAAATTAAATACATGAATGTTGGATGCATAAAATACCGAGACACGTCGTATAGCAATGCAAATTCACACTCGGTATAACAGTCATATTCGGGAATAGGTCACGTTCAGTACTTAGCAGACAGACGACATAGATGTTAAACCACAATCTAAGACGTAAAAATGTCATTAGCTAGTTTAGACAAAGACACACCGTATAGATTAACCAATTCGTGATGTAACTGCTGCACTGTCACTGATTGATGTTTTCATCAGAGCTGTTATAAAGTCTTTTCTCTCATCTTAAGTCCTTTATTTACACTAAATGTCTTAAAATCACATATCTCTTAATTACCCCTTTTCCAAATCTCATCTCTCTTCCTCCATATCCACTGTGATGACACTTCTACTTGTCTACACACTTCTGAAATAAGCTTCTTGCTCTCTGCTCCTACCACTCCTCAGGTCCTGAGAGCTTGCCATACTGTCTGTCTCGCAAAGCCCCTGCACCCTACTTCAATCGCAAAGCACCACCTCCTCAATCCCCGCTGTTGGCAATCTTCTACAAGCTGTTGGTATTTTGCCATCTTCCTTTCGTGCGCATCATCCATCCTTTCTTCCCAAGGGACTGTCAGTTCCAGCAAAGCTGTCTCCTTGATCCCTGTGACCATAGTACCATATCTGGTCTTAGCGATGTTGCTGCTATTTCTGCCGGGAGTCTCATACGTTGTTGAATATCTGCAGTAAACTGCCAGTCTCTGTTGCTGTTGCAAGCTAAGGATCCCAAGGCATTCAGGTGTTTTGTCTTTGCTCTCTCCAGCCTTCACAAAGTTTACGAAAGTGATTTTCTTCTTGACCTTTCTCTTCTTCCTCCTGATGATGTCCAACCTTGCTGTTATTTTTATCAGTACACTATCATGTCTCCATGTGTACCTACCATCTTACAGTGCCACTTGACATGATGACAACACATGTTGTAGAGATGCTGTTTTGTCTTTGCATAAGGTGCACATTGGATCTTCTATCAATCACCATGTATAGAGATTTGATGGACTTGGTAGTACATCATACACTGATCTCAGTATGAAGCTCAAACGGTATCCCTCCATACTCCAAATCTCACTCCAGGACAAGGCCCTGCTTCTAGTTCCTTGCCAATTTAACCAGCTACCTTGCTGCTTCATGCCTACCGCCTTGATATTCCTGCTCTCTTCTTTTATCTGTCGTACTTCCTGCTGTACCAAATCTCTCTTGCCCTTTTCATCTGCTGTATCCCATCTTGGTTTTGTTGTCATACCAAATCCTTGTTTCCCTACTGCTGTGACACCGACAATGACACTATGTCGAAGTCTTGTCTCTGCTTCTTTCACTGCTTCCTCTGCTTTCCACTTTCTTCCTGTCCGAGTCTTTACTTTGGCTCCAGTAACTTTGACATCTTTGCTGTCCCTCAACATCATGACCTGTCGTGTTTTTGTGACCATAAACTCTTCTGTTAACGCCTTGAGTGGTAATTGCAATTTTGTCCCTGTACTATACAAGCCAACACTGCTGAAATTTCTTGGTACTTCAAGCCAACGTCTGAGGCACGCACTGATCTTTCTTTCTAAAACCTCAACTTTGGACATGGGAAACTCATATACCAATAATGGCCATAGTATCCTTGACAAGACACCATGTTGATACATCCAAGTTTTGTATCTTCCTGGCATGCCACTTTTGTCTGTCTTCGACAGCCAATCTACCAACTGCGTTTGTATTTCTTCGGTGTATCCAGTGTCTGCTAGTGTAGCGTCAAAATGTTTTCCCAAGCATTTCACTGGTTTATCTCCAACCGTTCATATCTTTTCCCCTGCTAATTCGAAAGTATCATCTCTCATTTTGCCTTTTCTCACAACCAAACGTCTTGATTTACTGGGTTTGAATTTCATTCTGGCCCAACTTATCATTCCTTCCAACTCCTCTCAGGTCCATCTTCCCTCTATAACCGTCTTTGCTGTAACAGTCATGTCATCCATAAATGCTCTTATTGGTGGTTGTTTTATACCTGCTGACATTAATGGTCCTCTACTGTGTTTTTCCACTGACTTCACAATGAGGTTCATAGCTGCTGCAAACAATGCTACTGACACTGTACATCCCGTTAATATTCCTACTTCTAGTTTCTGCCACGCTGTGGTGAAATCTCCTACTGTAAATCTCATCTCAATGTGATCAAAGTATTCTTGCAGCATTGTCCTGATGGTGCTTGGAACATGGTACCTCTGCAATGTCAAATCAACCAGTTTGCTAAGTCGCTTTTCTTCTCCTTTGCTTCTATTGTGTCAAAACACTAGTATGTTTAATACATCCGGATACTTCTGGCATGCCTCCTTTCTGAACCGATAAGTCTATTTTTTCGTTGCTTAGCAGGAACCTTGTTGTCCTCTTTGCTAAAACTGCTAGGAAGATCTTACCCTCGATGTTCAATAGGGAGATGGTTCTTAACTGCTCAAGTTTCCTGGACTTCTCCTCCATCGGAAGAAAACATCCTTCTGCATTATACTATGTTTTTTTCATCTTTCTTCTTCTCCAAACTACTCTCAAAAGCTTCCACAATCGTCTGGCCAGCTTGGGACCATTCCTGTATGCCCGATACTGAATACCGTTTGGCCCTGGTGCTGATGCTGCTCTTGCTTTCTTCAGAACATCCTGCACTTCTTTGAACTTCAGTTCTGACTCGTTAAATTGTTCTTTCGGTTCCTCTGGAGTTGCCAGTTTCTCACATTCTTCCAGATCTTCCTCTCGCCTTCCACCACTATGGGTCTTTCTGAGATGTTTTTCTACTTCTTCCTTTGAGTTTTCCAATATACCAGATCCTCTTGCTCCAAATAATTTTTTCATATACTGAAAAGGGTGTGCTGTGAATTGCGCTCTTTCCTTTGTCCTTTTCTTCTGTCTCTTCTATGTGTTTCTGCTCATGTTAGTGTTTTCAATTTTCCCCTGGTTTCTTTCCTTAACAGTTGTAGAGGTAACCTTTCCTCCTCTATATCATCTATATACCTCTTCTTTAACCTTCTGAGGCCCCCTCTCAGTTCCTTGATCTTCCTCTGTCTACGATTACTCTGACCTTGTGATATCTCTCTTTTCCCAGATGTAATCAACCCAAATCTGTCCTTTCCTACGCTGTAAATAATGGAGGTCATTGCTCTCATCTTTCTATCTACATTTCCTGCTAATGTTGCTTCTAAGATATTTTCGAGATCTTCATCACAAGCTTTCCAAATTGCTTTGTCTGCACTTGATGGCCACTTAATCTTTTCCTTTCTTGGCTCTTACTTTTCTCTTCTGACTGTTGGTTATATCAGATTTATCTCTTCTCCTTCTGTAAGTTGTTCTATCTCTGTAAGCTGAGCTGTGTGTTAATCCTCACCCTGGTTCACATGAAGGTTATCATCACTGTGGTTTGCTTCCTGGATGGTCTCCTCCTCCGTCTGACCAGATCTCTCTGTGCGTTAATTGCCAGAATGGGGTGGCACACATTTCATTCAAGTTTGATAGATCTTCAAACCACTGGCATTCTTGCAGACTTTCCCACAAAAACATGTACATCCGTTGTCCGTGCTCGTTGTCCTTTTCGGTTCTTTAGTCGTATCCTGAGTCTGTCTTATAGGCTGTTTATCCTCCCTCGCTCTCACACAGCCTCGAGGGTGTCTTAATATATATCGGTCCATAGCGTGTAATGCGGGTTCCCCTTCATAGGGGATGCACTTTGGCCTGCCAAGACTAATGTCCCAAGTACCAGTCTCTCCTGGTTGATTGCTTTCTCTCCAGGTCGCCATTTATATATGATTGAATCTTCTTTTAGAGTAATTGTAATTCACTTGGTAAATCATTGGATCGCAGTGTACAAAAAATACATATAAAACTATGTTTCACAACTCATATCTGGTTTTGACTTGTATAGTTGTTTTTTATGTCTTTTTTACCAATATCAAAGAAATAGTTGCTCTTTATGAACTGATACTTTAATTTATGTTTTTCTGTTACTATCACGGATGGAAGAGGATGAGCATTATCAAACTAATTAAAAAACATTTTTATCTGCCCCTGTCATGGCGGCACCCACGAAATTTATTAGCTAAAGAAAAAAAGTAGTATGTCCACTAGGAAAAAGTAATTTGTCGGGAAAAAACAATGTAAACAGTAAACAACTTAAAAATTACTTCTACTTTAATTCAGAATGTTGTGTAAATAACAATAATTATGTGATTACATAATCAAGGTGAGTTGTGAGAATAGTGATTGTTTACATCGGAACTTGTCAGGTATATACTCGATAATATGGCGACTTTAGAAGCTATTGCCGATCTTAAGTCTGCTGTCATGGGTATTGATTCAAAGGTAACACTCTTTACATCAAGGCTAGACTCTGTTGAACAAAACTTAACGCATTACTGAGGTCAGGTCAGAAGTTGTGCAAGTAAAGTCAGATCTTAGTACTACACAAACTGAGGTGGGAAAGCTTAGACTAGATCACAACGAGCTACAGAGAGGTATAGGGTACATAGAGTCACAACTCAATACTCTAGAAATGGAAAAAATGGAATGTCTGAAAAAAAAACATTGACGACAAACTTTTCGCATTGAAAGAAAATCAATTTTTTCTAGAGAAACATGAGCGTAAATACAATATTCTTATTTACGGTATAAAACAAATACAAGATGAGAACATATGGGAAGTAGTAGACAATTTCTTTGTGAAGGAGCTGGGGATAGAAATGTTTAAAGCACAAAGTTTCCCCCTTGCAAATGCCCACAGGATCCCATCAAGAGCCCCAGTTGTTGGCCAAAAAAGACCAGATGCTATAATTGTGAGGTGTAGGCACTACTCAGACAAACAATTAATAATGGAAAATGCATACAAAGTTGCAAATAAAAAAATCAGAGTAGTAGACGATTTACCCGTTATAATGAAAGAGGCACGAAATGATCTGGCAAAAGTTGCATATAAAATAAGAAATGACGAGAAATTACAAACCAGAATAAAAGTAAGAGGCATAATCCTGGTCCTAGAAACACGACTTAACTCAAAGGATGCGTGGAATACGCGCAAAACAATTAATTGTGTCAGATGATACAAGTACATGTATGACTGTGACTACAGAAATTGTAAATACAGGCTGATGCGATGTTGTGCTTTTCTTTGTTGTTTCTATGACTGAAAAACTTATCATGCAACTTTAACATATTAAAATGTTCAATCTTTTGTAGGACTTGCTTGTCAGTAAGTATATTACTGTGTTAAATTTGTTTTTACTTGTGTGTTTTTTCCATTATGCTTTTGTTGAAGTCGCAATCATATAGTATATACATCGGCTGCATGTTAGTTCATAGTCTTGTTATTTAAGCTTTACTTTTTTCTTTAGTTTTGGCCCAAAAAATATGTGTATTTTTTATCATCATTCTTTGGTACATACAGGAAGAACCTAATATTATAAAAAGAAAATGTTTTATTTAAGGAGTCGTTTATAAAAACAGATTTTTTAATCTGTAAATGAAAAAGGAAAAATTAAAAAATGATGTAAAAATTATCTACCAGTAAACAAATAAACTCCATTCTTAATATTTTAACATTCTAATAAAGTGCTTTCATATGATCAATCCTGTGAGATTTGTATTAATGGGACAACAACCCAACAACACCCCATACATGTAAGTCAAAGGAACATATAGTGTTAAACATGTTGTGTTGGGCTCTCAAAAGTTTATATTCTTTGTACTAAATTGTTGATATTTCAAACTTTAAATCACAAACTATTATGAATACCTTTCTTTACCTAGTATGTTTTACATCAGCATCTGCATCTTTTTATCAAAATGAAGATTACATAGTACTTGAAACCCTGTATGTACCAACCATGTTTCTCCATCTAAATACTAAAATATACTGTTAGAATTATAAGTTTTAACAGGATTTTTGAAACGCTATTCATTGCTCTAACATAATTTAATGCTTCTTTCTGCTGTTTGTTTAGCTTTCACTCCAATTGTTAGTGCTTTTTTTCTATACTCATGTTTAACATGTGCATTACAAAAGACCTTACTTTGCAAGTTTGTTAACCTACATATATACTATTTATAATCAGGTCAAGATCAAATTATATACTGTTTTGTGGAGAAATATTTTCCTGTGACATGAATGCTCAATCTTAAATTGCAAAATAGCATAAATGCTTACATGAAGATTTGTAGTATTAAGTAGAAGAACTATAAGCTAAGAAATAACTCAACAAACTATGAAACCCGAATGCATAAAATACCATACGTGTACTTTTTTTCTGTCTTTCTAAAAACATACAGCTGGGCAAAAGAGTGAAATCTGTGTACACACATATCATGCATATACAACTAACTTTGATATAAAAAAAAATAAAAATAGTTTTTTCATTATCTCTACCTTTTTGAATAAACCTAACTATTTGTGTATATTTGGATGAGTAATTATAAGATAACTTAAAAAAAAAAATATATATATAAATAACTTTAATGAAATTAATGACTAAGCTAACTATCATCTCAATCATTGACTCTCAAGAATCATTCTATTGATTGATGATGTAAGGGAGATAATCGTCTTTAGTTTTTATGATAAAGATATCACCCATAGAGCACATCATTTCTGTACTTGAAAAAAAATAGAACAGCAGTTGATATATTACTTTTTGAACAACATAATTTGTTTTTAATTATTTGATTTTCTTGCTTTGTCTTTTTTTTTTTGAATATTTATGATCTCATTATTTTCTTCTTTCTATTTTTACATTTTACAAATTGTATGTCTTTTTCTCTATTTCATGTTATTGGCACAGTACTTAATATTATATTATACAGCATCGTTGGTGTATTCTGGTTACAATTAGAATTCCACACAGACATGGCAGGTGAGATCAGACATCTGAAGGATATTTTGACATTCACACACTTAAAAGTACACAGTTGTATGGGTCATTAATTTTTTTATGCATTCTTCAAAATTACATATTATTGTTTTGTTATAAAATAGAAATATCACTTGAAAATGAGTAATAATAATATAAAAATTTTCTCATACAACTGTCAAGGTCTTAATTCAAAAGAGAAGCGAAGAGATGTTTTTGATTATCTTAAATCAAAAAAATGTAATATATATTGCTTACAAGATACACATTTTTCAGAAAATGATGAAATATCAATAAAAAATCTATGGGGAGGAGAGTGCATTTTTAATTCATTTGCAACAAATCAAAGAGGGGTAGCAATTTTATTGACAACAAATTTTGAGTATAAGATACATAAAGTAAAAAAAGACGATCAAGGAAATTTTTTATGAATTGATATGGAAATAGAAGGAAAAAGAATGACCCTAATAATCTTATATGGTCCAAACAAAGATACACCAGAATTTTATGTAAAACTAAGTGAAATGATAGAAACTTTAAACAATCAGTCAGTTGTTATAACTGGAGACTATAATTTAGTACAAAACCAAAGTCTTGATACATATAATTATCAAAATATTAATAACCCAAAAGCTAAGGAGAAAGTTCTAGACTTAATAGAATTTTATAATTTAACAGACCCATTTAGGGAAATTAATCCAGACTTAAAAAAATTCACATGGAGAAAATCTAATCCCATAAAACAAGCAAGATTAGATTTCTTTTTAATAACCCAAGACCTTAATCAAAATGTTTATGATGTACAAATTCACAACAGCTAAAGATCAGATCACTCTCCAATAATATTAAATCTGAAGATGAATGATTTCATAATTGGAAGAGGATTATGGAAATTTAACAACTCACTTTTACATGATATTGAATATTCCAAAACTATAAAAGACACTATACTTAAAGTAAAAGACCAATATGCATCACTAGTATATGATAGAGATACTTTAGAACAAATAAATGATTTAGATATCCACTTTACAATAAATGACCAACTCTTTTTAGAAATATTACTTACTGAAATCAGAGGGAAAACTATTTCCTATGCATCTTATAAAAAGAAGGAAAGAGATAAACAGGAAAAAATGTTATCAGAAAAAATTCAGAAATTAGAGGAAAGCATCTTAACAGAGGAAATATTAACAGAAATTGAACACCATAAATCTGATCTTAGAATAATAAGGAAAGAAAAAATGAGGGGGTACTATATCAGATCAAAAATGTAATGGATTGAAGAAGGGGAAAAACCATCTAGTTCCTTTTTGAATATGGAAACTAAACATTTTATAAATAAAACCATCCCCAAACTAGTTAACTAAAAAGGGGACACAATTTGTAAACAAGATAAAATATTAGAAGAGGCCAAAAATTACTATAAATAACTTTATACTAAAACAGAGAGCTTGAGTAGTGTAAATCTTAATAACGAAATTCCTGATTCTGATATTGAAAAATTAACTAATTCTTTAAAAGAATCCTTAGAGGGGGGATAACTTATAATGAATTGACAACAGCTTTGCGTAGAATGAAAAATGAGAAAAGTCCGGGGTCAGATGGCTTTACAAATGAATTTTTTAAATTCTTTTGGACAAATGTAGGAAAATTTGTTTTCAGATCTATAATTTGTGGTTAAAAAAGGGGGGAATTGTCAAGAACTCAAAAGCAGGGTATTATTACTTGTTTACCAAAAGGTGATAAACCTAGACAGTTCATGAAAAATTGGCGACCAATAAGTCTTTTGAATACAACATAAAAACTAGCATCAAGCTGTATAGCAGAGCGTATAAAATCTGTCCTACCCATTATTATTAACAATGATCAGACAGGTTTCATTCCTGGAAGATATATTGGAGAAAACACTCGTCTCATATATGATATTTTATTCTATACAGAAGTAAATGATTTACCAGGTCTTCTCCTTCTTATAGATTTTGAAAAAGCTTTTGATTCCGTATCATGGAAATTCATAAATGAAGTATTAGACTTTTTCAACTTTGGACCCTCTATAAAACATTGGATAAGGACCTTTTACACAAATATAAGCTCATCAGTATCCCAAAACTGTTTTCTGTCAGATTTCTTTGAGATCCAAAGAGGCTGTAGACAAGGGGATCCTTTATCACCTTACATTTTTCTTTTATGTGCGGAAATTCTAGGAATTTTAATCAGAAAGAACAAAGAAATTAAAGGAATTAGAATTGATGACACAGAATATCTTATCTCCCAATACGCAGATGACACATCAATAATACTTGATGGTACTCCCAAATCTCTAGATGCATCTCTTCGCTTACTACAAAAATATGCTGACATGTCTGGTCTCCATATGAACTTGGACAAAACAAAGGTAGTGTGGATAGGCAAAACAAAAATATAGTAAAGACACCATGTGTGTAAAATGGGGATTGGAATGGGGTTCCAGTAGGTTTACACTACTAGGAATAACCTTTCTGTCAATTTGCATGAAATTTAATTGTTAAACTATGGTCCAAGAATTAAGGAAATTGAGAATATAATAAAAATTTGGTCTAAACAAACATTAACACCGGTTGGAAAAATAACAATCATCAAGACACTAATTATCTCAAAATTGAACCATCTGTTTTTAACATTACAAGCACCATCAAAATTTATTCATTTATTTGGGAAAACAAACCTGACAAGATAAAAAGAGAAATATTATGTTCTGAACACAAATTAGGAGGGCTGAAAATGATAGATATTGACAAATATATAAAAGGATTGAAACTAACATGGATTAGACGGTTGTTGAAAAACAACCCAAAACTAAATAAGGTACTAGAAAGTACTGAAAAAATCAGTATTGAAAACCTAGTTTATTTAGGCCCAACAAAAAGATGTAAAAACCCTTTTTGGGAAGAGGTCTTTAAAGCTTAGACAGATTTACAAAATAAATTTATACCAAAAAATGAAGACGAGTTTGTATCAGATTCGCTCTGGAATAATGAAAATATTAAAATAGGAACAACATCTATTTTCTATAAAGACTGGACAGATAAAGGGATCTTTTTGATAAATGATCTATTAAAATGAGGGAAAACTAATGACTTTTCAACAATTCCAAGACATTTATAAAATTAAGTCAAACTTTCTTACTTATAATGGGGTAATTTCATCAATAAAATCATATAAAAAAAGCTCTCAAGAAAGATATATCCATAAACAATCTTAATAAAACACAAGGACCAATTATTCCAAAAAATATAAGAATATTTTTTTATCAAAAAAGGCTCGAAAGATATGTATAATGTTCTATTAGAAAAAAAAAAAAACAGTACTAAACTTAACTGTGAAGACAAATGGTCCTTAACACCGAACAAAAATTTTGATTGGAAAACCGTGCATAATATGTCTTTTTACTCCACAAAAAGCTCAAAACTTCAATGGTTCCAGTATAGAATAATACACAGAATCTTGAGCACAAATAAATGTTTATTTAAAATAAAAATAAAACAAAACGATAAATGTACTTTCTGCAATGAATTTACCGAAGATATTGAACACATATTTTGGCCATGCCATAAAATAGCAGATCTGTGGATAAGACTCGGTGACTGGATTTATAACCAAACACAAATAATTATTCCGTTTAACATGGATATAATTTTATTCGGAAATTTAGGAAAAACAGAAAATAATAAAATAAAAAATTTAATAATACTATTATCAAAATTCTTTATTTATAGAACAAAACTGTGTGAAAATCAAGTCAGTTTTGCAGGGTTGAAAAATTATCTAAAAGAAAATCTAATTCTAGAAAAGAATATATTTTTTAAAACAAAGCCTCTTCACATTGCCAACCTCTACTGGGACCCCTGGCTTCCATTACTAGAATAATTTACACTTTACAAATTAGCATTACCCTATGTAATGTTACTGTGTATATTGTTTTAGCCTTCTCCACACCACCATATATGTTTTATTTAATATATTGTTATATGTTTGTTTATTGTTTTTTGTTCTTGTTTTGTGCCTAAAACCACATGTACGTTTTTTTATATCTATTTTGTTGTGTTTGTATGATTTTTTTACAATGGAAAACCAACTTTGCCAAATTTATTTAATGTTATATCTTAAGACACATGCTAGTTTTGACCAAAATACTGCTGCCAAAAATCCAAATTTCAGTGATTTTTTTTTGTTTTTTTTGTGTTTTTTTTTTTTATTTATCTATTATTTTCTCTTCTCTCTTTTCATTCTTTATGAAATAAAAATCTCTCTTAATTGAACAATATGGAAATAATGGTTACATAATAATATAGTGTATATATTTTATAATTTAGAATACTAACAATTACTAACTATTTTCTATCTAAATATACAATCTAATGTTTAACGAGGCCGGGATAAGGTACCGGTACTTTCTGTATCCAACTAAAAAATGTGAAAGTTTTTCAATAAAGTATGTAAAACTTAAACAAAAAAAAAACAAAAAATCTGTATGTTTATGTCTATCCCATATCATAAAAATCTTAAATTCCGTATAACTTTCGTTCGTAATTTTAATACAACTTCAAATTCATGAAATGTTATTCGAGTAAAATCGTTTCTGTCATTATTTTCAAATATAAATTGAAGTGAAATGTATACTTATACTGGTTAAGTACGTTTAAATTACATGACACGAAAAGCAGCAATATCCGAGACTTTTTAACAATACGATTTTGATTTTTTTGTCATACTAGTACATCAATACAATCTCCTACCTCCTTTGTGATTCATCGTCGTCAAATAAATAAATAAATAATAGCCCTTCATATACGGAACGAAAAAGATACGCATAAATTGTATTCTATTTATTTCATTTGAAAATAAACTATTGTTTGGCTAAATTATTTTGCAAGTCTTTGAAAACTGGTATACAATTTGCATCTGCACACGTTTATCAAACCAATTCGACAAAATTTGTCGAACGCGACAAAACTTTGTGGCAAACAGTTACAAGGGGAGATCAATCAAGAATTTCCAAATCCTACACGACGTTTCACCCAAGAAGATAATGCTAGAGCATCTAATCATTATGATGCTAAGGGCCCGTATACATAAAGCTACTTAAGTTAAGATTTGTTCCGAAGGGACGGATTTTACTTCATTTCCTACGATGAATTAGTACTACGATTGGATAGCTTAACTTAAGTGGTTTTATGCATATCAGCCCTGACTTCTATGTGGGAATCTCTTTAAGAGTCACCCGTATATATGCTATCAAAGCGATTGAAATCATTACCTCCTTTCAAGTTTGGCATCAGAAATGAACAAACGCCACATGTGGAGCATGATATGCTTACCCTTCCGGAGCACCCGATATCACCTGATATCACCTCCGGTTTTTTGGTGGCCTTCGTGTTGCTTAGTCTTTGAAACTAGTTTGCTATGTTGTGTTTTGTATACGGTTTGTCTTTAGATCGTTTCATTTTTAGCCATGGCGTTGTCAGTTTGTTTTCGAATTATGAGTTTGAATGTTCCTTTGGTATCTTTCGCCTCTCTTCTATGTTTTAGATTTAACCTTTTCGTAAAGTATTATGATAGAAATATCGCTATATGTTGAACATTATTTATATTCCTGCCCAAAACATTAACTGCACTTTGAAATATATCAGTTTCCTTTCTTGTTGTTCAGTATAGACAAACAATTTATACTTGTCTCGATATATTTGATCTTATACACCTCATTACACTATTCTATTTGACGCATAAAAATCCTTTTTAATATATAAATTGTGTGTTTTAGGTGTTCTGAGTAAAGAATGATGCGATGAACAACGGACTATCATGGATCTGGTGTTTGAAGGCAATTTTTATAACGATTCTCATGGCCATACCACTGGTCATTTATATAGTTAATTCAAAAACGTCTAGTAGTCATTATCAGGTTTATGGATCTACACATGCTCAGTGCTTCGGTAGCAATGACGGAATAACATCAGAAGTAGTAAAGAGGAGAAACGAAATATCTAGACAATTAAATGATATGAGCAAAAAACTAGGACAAATAGAATGTGATGTAAGTAAACTAGTTGTTAATTTCTATGTTGAACCATCAGCAGTTAAAACATTTTTTTTTAATGTTCCACACTAGTTCAAAAGGATAGTAAATGCCATACTAACTAGTTCTAATTAATTCGAACTATGTGCTTATTATATTGAGTTGATGACCCAGAATATCTTTAAAAAATCACTGAATTTAAGAAAGATAAAAGATTATTTAATTTTAGTTGGTCACTTTCTCTTTCGATTTCCTTTAAAATTTATTTATATCAACAATTATAACATGACCTGAATGGAAATGTATTTGCCTGGTGAACAAATTGGTAGTATTACTGGTAAATAGTCACATCGGATTTTTTTTCTCGTTTTGTTCAAGTTATAGAAAAGGTATTACTCTGGCAAGACTTCCGTTTAAACTCCTTCATGTATGTCTGACTCAATGTTTATTCCGTCGACAGAGGGGTGTTTACAGGATAGTCTTTATAGTATAATATACTGCTTTGTAACAGACCTAAACACAAAGTATGATTTTTACTTACCATCTCACAAAGCAGGAAAACATATCACTCTTTCAGTACACTTCATTTCTGAATCTTGGCCTACAAGGCTTGACTCCTCTCTCCTTAATGATTCCTGCTTTTAGGAGAAGTAGCAAGTATATGGCCAACGATCAATCTTCTGAACTCAGAAGTATAGCCGGCACGATTGCAGGGGTTTCCATTCGGAATCATAATTGTGTATTTTTTCGGTATAACAGACCAGCTTTACCCTTAATTTGCGATGATGTATTTTTAATCTGCATACGTATATTTCTCTTCAGATTTAAAGCAATTTTACACCGGGTCATAAATATAAAATACTCTTTGTTTGATTATCTGCAAATACTCTGCAGTTATTTAATAATTAAATCTGATATGATTTATCATGTTCCATGTTTTTGTCACTTTGAAACTCGCTCAACCACAAGCACTATCTTTGGTCATATTTCAAGTGTTAACATTGTATAATTCTTGATTTCTTTTTTAAGAGACAACAAGTTAACAGAAAGGGTGGATGGTGCAAGCATTTAAGTTTGGAAACAACTGGAGAACATAAAACCGATTTTAAACTTGTAAAGGCTTTATCACGATTCCTTGAAGGGAAAAATGTAGGGAGCTTTGGTGATGGACCCGGTGTTTACAAGCGTGAAATCCTCTAATTAGGACAGGTTAGATATTACGACGCATATGACGGAGCGCCATTTTGTGAGGAAACAAGTGAAGGGAGAGTTCAATTTATGGATTTAACCATTGCACAATACGGAATACCTCTTTATGACTGGATCGTATCTCTAGAAGTTGCCGAACATATACCGCAACAATATTAGAGTGTTTATTTAGAAAACATATTTAGACATGCTCGGGAGGGTATAATTTTGAGTTGGGCTGTGCCAGGACAGGGGGGAATGAGTCATATTAATAATAAACCCTCTAGTTATGTGATTAATTTGATGAAGAATAATGGGTTTGTCAGAGACGAGGAGCTATCAAAACTGTTGAGAAAGTCTACATCGCTATGGTGGTTACAGCAAAATACAAATGTTTATAAACGAGTAGATTTTCTGAAGTTTAGAAATGAGTCTTATTTGAGTCAGTACTATACGTAGAAATAATTCTGCAATTATAGTTTAGAAAAACTGTTTCTTAGGCATTTTTAACGAGCATTTGCTGTTTTAAATTATTTAAACGACAAGGAATGCTAGAAATGGTCCAAATATATTATTATATGCTGTTGCTCAGAGGCATTCGTTGTCTATGCAAATGTCGATATAGTGTCATATATACTTTAAGGTAATACTTAAAATATACTAGAACACACCCGCGACATCGCGTGTCCGTGACTGAATCAACATAATTACGCCTTATTATTAGCCTGGATTTTAAGTATTCGTAATGTCATCTGATTATAAGGTGCACAGTTTTCTCTGTTTTCGACATCTTTCTATTTGAAGCTATCGACCCAGAACTTGTTTATTATCAGTAATATCAATTATGTGGAAAACAAAAGGTTCTTGAATAGTGTAATTTTTAATCAACACAATTGTCCTATATAAGTTATAACACATTGGAAAGTACCTTCTCTGGATTTTTAGTATTCGTATTGTCATCTGATTAAGTCATGCTGATTATAAGGTGCACAGTTTTCTCTGCTTTCAAAAAAATCTTTCTTTTCGAACCAGTCCTGGTTTTTGTAGGAAACTACAAATGACAACAATTGAATTTAGTAATATCAATCCCTGTATACGAAGTTCGAGTGTGATTATGACCCGTGTATATATAGCAAATCTCAAACACGCAGCTTAATGGTGTGCCTGTCAGAGGCGGAATGTACAAATTATGTAACAGGTACCGGTGACATATTGGTATCGATATCGGATTCGACCTGTAACTTGTTAACAATTGGTAAAATCAATTATGTGGAAAACAAAAGGACCTGAAATGGAGAAATTTTTAATCAGCAGCATTGTCCAATATTAGTTATACATAAAGTTAAATTCTTTGATTCGTCGTTTTTACGTCATGTCGGCTAACAAATTGGACCTCGTTATTTCAGTATTATAGATGTTTAATGACGGTAGATCTTGGAGCGATAAACGGGACAATATCATAAGCCGAAATTGCCTGTGATAAACGATGATATAAAGCAGTTTTACCCCAATATTTCGTTGGAGTTTACTACAATGAATGTCAAACACGTGTGGGAATTTTTTTATTACATTACTTAGTAATAGATTTTAATAGGACCTTTACGTGAAAGACGGCCCTGTCGTACTTGGTGCTTTTTGTCTGTATTCGTTATGGTACATTGTATTTATTTTAATTAGTATTCTTGTTTAAATGGGTTTTTGCTAGGTTGAGAGAGATAACCATTGTTACACTTCGTGTAATGAAAGAACTTTACGTTTTATCCTTTTTTTCATAATTCGAAGTCATTAACAACATTAAACATAATGTCGTAAAATAAATGTTAGCAAATGAACTTCTACATGTATGTGTGTGTTCATTTGTGTGTACATTTTGTACATGTATTTGTGCGAGTGAGTGGGGTGATAGTTTCGCTTTTTTTTCAAATGGCTTGCAATGAAAATAAAGTCACGTCAATGTTTAAGTCAATAAGGGAACAACCATTTAACTTGGGTATGTTTTTTTTTCCTTTCGTACAACACAAGCATCAAATCACTTATAGTCTAGTCAATCTGTTCTAAATAAGGGTGAACCTCAAACTAATTGCAACAAATGATTTCAATGGTAAAAACTAAAGTCTATGTACATATACATCATATAGTAAATATATACAAAAATATATTTTGCGGAAAAGGGTCATTTTGGGGTAAAAATGAGATTTTGAAAGTAAAACTGGGAAAAACTGGGAAAACTCTAAAATTCAGTTATTTTTTTTACTAATGCTGATTATTTTTTCTCTAGAATGCAGAACCTTAATGAATGAATTATTAAAAGATAGTAAGACATTTATATGCAATCATTTTGTTTATATATTATCATTATTATTGAGAAAAACATCATAAAAACCAGCTAAAATCGGGAAAAATTCAAATTTTTAAATGTTAATGTTTTTTTTTTCGTTTGAAAGCTGAATCTTAATGTTTGTCATATTTAAACATGATTAAACTTCTAAAACTGTATTTTAAGCACATTATGTCTCTTTATCTACTATCAAAATCTGTTTGTTGTGTATTACAATATAATGTTTTGATGAATTAGGTAATCGAAAAATGAATCTTGAAAAATTTATATTTTAGTTTAGTGATTGCCTTATTATTAGTCAATTAATGATCAAATTTTAGCAACACATAATCACTCAGACAATTATATGGTCATGTGTCCTCATTTTCTTCGATATCAAGTTCGTCTAGTTCGAGTTTTGAGTTTGAACAGTTTATTCCTCTGCACTCTCCATAACCACTGGAACAAGAAATGTCATTCTTGCGACAGCTACACCTACGGTTGTCACAATCAGTCTTGCAATTACAGTGAATTATCTTCAAGAGGAATTCAAGTGCTGGCTGCTTTGTCATTTCAATAGGAAAGAGTTTTTCATTTTTCATAGTCCAACCCCATTGCAGGGGGTCCATTTCCTCAGCGGTTTTTCCCCTCCAGTATTGACACTGAAGATAAACTCGCATAGAATGAAACTTTGCAGCATCAGAAGTTGGTGGGAGAGTCTGAACTTGCACTATAGATGATCTATTTAGTGCCATTGTTTTCGTGGTGAACTTTCTCCATCGAAGTATGTCCAGTCCTTCTAAGGGCATGCCACCATACAAGTTTACCAGTGCTTCTTCGCCAGCCTTGCAAACGTCATCTTTTCCCATTGACTCCTTTAGAAAAACTTCTCCTTGAGTCTGAAGATGATGGTCTGATTTTATTTTCTTCAATACTGCAGGTTTACCTATTCCATGCAATCGGCTTGTCGTGTCACAACCAGTAATGGCATGAACAAACGGTAGTTGAAGGCACACATCTTCACGAAGAACTTGTTGTGTTTTTTGTATATCCCAAACCTTTAAAATTTTTCATCGAACTTTGCTTGTCAGTGGTATGCAATGAGAAATCTTTTCTGCAAGATGACAAAGCAGTATCAACAAGTCAGTGTCTTCTCCGTATATCACAACTTCTTGTCTGTTTGATTTTTCTACAGCTGTCTTAACGATAAGTAAATCTGCATCTTCCATGGCTTGTATAGCCTCGATGCTATGTTCTTGAAATGCATCCATCAGAATTTCAACAAATCTTTGTTTGTTAGATTGGTTTAAGAGAAATGTTTCTTTCTTAATTCGTAATGGCATGTCTCTTGTGAATGTGATTATGTTTGATTGTGCTCCTTTGCTTCTTCTCAAGTGAGTGATGTCTTTTATTGTAGCCATCCATGACTATCGTTGGGTTGGAAAATCGTTTTCTTATATGATCGATGTACTTCATACAAATTTGAGAAAATGTCTGACCTTTAATCCACGGTATTCTATATAAAAGAGATCCTCCGTCAATGACATGAACAATATTTGTTTCTGGTAGTTCTTGAGCATGACAGTCACCCATGTTCCAAATAGCGTCTGCAAGAGTTACTTTTGCTGCTTGCTTTGGGAGACCATTAGCCTCAAACAAAGAAGAGGGAAAACTTGAAAGTTCGTATTCAAACAGTTCTGCTGTATTGTTTAGTGATTCTTGTCCTACTGCTGTTAGTCGATGAAACATAAGTTGAGGATCGACTTGTGGCTGTTGGGAGATATTCGAGCCTGATGGTCGTTTTGCGTCAAGTGTAACAATTTGGTCTTTCTTCTTAAATGGAATTTCCGAAACAAGATTTCCTGCTATAGACTCTATGATTTTTATCGCCGACTGTCTTTGCTTCATCTGCATTGGCATCGCTATCCGCTACCATTCCAGTTTCGATGTTTCGTAATGTCTTGTCATTTGTGAAGGGATTTCGATCTGTCAAGAATTCATTGAGTAGATTTGAGTCTTTGTTGTATCTTTCTATTCTCGTTTTGCTGTTTTCAATGTGCTGGTCACTAGTTTTATATCCCGTTCCAGTTAACTGCTTCATAGCATGATTGTATTCGGCTAAAGTTGGTATAGACAAGAGCCACAGTGCTCTTTGGATTTCTCCCATACCTCTGCCTCTAGTTAATCCTCCGGTTGACTTTACGCTTCTCATAAGCACTTGCTCTATCACCAAATCCGTTGACAAGCCAGCCCAAAATCTGTCACTTCTTCGAACAACATGTTTACCATTCATAAAATGAGCATGGATATTTGGATGATCAGATTCTAGGTTTTGCATCTGAGAGAGGAAAAAATAGGCAGATTTAGTGTAAAGATTGTGGCCTGATGCTGCAAAATATGGTAGCATTTCCTTCAGTGTTGATAAATGTAGCAGCCAATCCCCTTTCCTTTCTGCAATTAGGAAACGTTTTAAAATGGCCACCATGTCTAGAAAGCACAGCCAAAGTTGTGATGTCCTGGATTGTTTTAGCTCATTTCGTTTCTTTTCTAGCAGTTCTTGTATGGCTTGGAAAGTTTGATTTTAAGTGCATCTTCTAGAGAGATTTTCTCTTCCTTTAAGCGGTCGTATATCTCACAAGCTTCCATTATCAATGGATGGTCAATACTTAGGGTATGATTAATTTCGTTCTCATGTTCTTCTGAAACGTCATGTCCGAAAATTTCATTTGTCATCAAAGTGTGAAGAGCTGTGTCAACGAGCATGAATCCACGAACAGCACGGGATACGGCTTTCCCATATAGCATATGTGTTACTGCATTAGGTGCATAAATAAGTTCGAGAACCTCCTTCAGTCCTGAGCCTGACATAATCCGCCCTATACTGCCCAAAAAACTCATCTCTGTATGAAAAGCACCTAAACGTACGATAATGTTACTGCATTCTTCCCCACTTGTGATCATGACAGATTTCCAGTAAAGTGGTTGGTAAAATGTTATAACTGGAGTTCGTCCTTGACGAGAGGCTTCTTTTGATACGAACAAAAGTGTCGAGTAGATGCAGCTCATATCACTTGGATTTAGGTCAATCATAGGCAAAAAAGT